AGGCCCGCCCGGCGGGACTCCTGATCCAACAAGGGCTACTAGCCAGCCAGCCCTAGTCGGACCTGATAGCTATGACGATGATGAGATCAGCCGATTTGACAAAAAAAACAGTTCATTTGTAGATCAAAACGGGTTGCAAAATTCCCGAAATCACTATCATTTCCATCCTCCGCAGCCTGTACCACCCACCAGCGTCTCGGTGGGACTAAAGCACACTAGGTGGGAGGATAGGGGGACGGGAGGGAGAGAGGCCTACCCTTTTTGAGAAGTGGCTGGATTTCAGACTGGAAATCAGAGCCAATGCGCATGGAACCACGATCCTCCTGAAGCCGCTTAGTCGAGGGATCGTAGATGAGGCGGTAATAGAAGGCATCCTCACGTTGTACATAGGAGGTGAGCGGTTCCACTTCATTGTACAGAGTCACAGAGCACTTGCCTAGATTGTGTGCGCAAAGACAGAGAAGAGCGAAAAGTGAACATTGGGTGGGAATAATTTGGAAAAACAAGATACACAGGAGGAAGGCGGACTAAAGATGCTTAATACCTAGCTTTACAGTTGTCATTGTGCATTCAGGCGAATCAGTCGAAGAATGCCTAGGATGGATTGGGATTGCAAGAGGCAAGGGCCGCTGAGCAAATGCGAAAAGAAGACCTGAATTTTAAGAGGGTACTGCCGGTACTACACAGACGCCATAAGCCACAGTTAACATTTTGCCTGAAAGAGGTTGACTATGGGAGGATTAGAAACCACATGGACTTAAAGAAAGGGAGTTCAGGAAAACCACAAATTAGTTTATCACCGTCTACTGTGACATCTATCTGCCTGACTGACGACTTTGTTAATCTGTCAATAAGCTCTGCCAGCTGTATGATAGAGCATACGATGATGACCCTGATTACACAGCCAAAGTTCAGGTCGGATGGATGGATGGAAGCCTCAATCACTGTGACCTAAAATCGCAATAATTGCTACACAATGATAGACACGCGCTCACCGATCGGTTAGTGAACTCACTCGTGCCTTGGGGTTCGCTCTCGAACCCCGCCAG